TTCACTTTGGCATCTTTTAAATTCTCTCCTCTTTGTAACCCGAACCTCAAATCATTTCGAAGGGCAGCGAGGAGGGTTCCTCCGGTCTGGGAGGACTCATCCATCCCTACCACACAACCAAGAGTGAAAACCCACAAGGAAAATAGCCCACTCACGTCTCCGTCTGACCTAGCCCAGGGTTGGCTTTGGTTTTCAGTTTTGGGGCCCTGCAAAAAGCAGTAAAACCCAAAAGCCTCTCTCCCTGGCTTGAGTGGAAAGACACAACACGTTAAAATGGCTTTTCCTCTCCCTTCAGCCCCTGGACCACAGCCTCAGTTACGCTCCCACCCCTGCTCCTGCGATGAATGAGCTGCCGGCACCTTCCTCAACCCTTTCAGCTCTTCTCCAACCTTTGCCAGAGCCATCTCCCAGCAAGGCAAACCCTAACAGAACTCCTCTCCACAAAGGGACGGTGCTTCTTCCATAGCCCAGCCATTAGGAGCTATTTTTACCTGCTTCTGCATGCACAGATGGGCCAGAAACAATCCAAGCTCAGCGCCCGTTATGCTTTGCCCAGAAGATTTGCTCCCTGCTTTTGCTGAGCTGCCAAAACAGTTGCAAGGAGCAGGTAGAAAGTGGGGAAGTCACAGCCAGGCAGCTGCCAGAGCGTGCTGCGAGCAACGGCTGGGGATGACAATAGAGAGATGGAGAAGAGTTATTCATGTTTCCCCGAGAGCTGAGATCAGTTGAAACATCGTTTTCCTCGGGGATGGAGAGGAAAGAGCTCCCTTCAAACACATCATCCCATGAGACTCATTAAAGGCTCATCAATTACAGTGAGAGCAAACAATTCAGGGGAAAGCTCTCCGAAGCCTTCCCTGGGATGGCAGTCATTAGCAGCTCTCCGCTGCGCTGCCTGTCCCCAGCGCCAGCCCGGGTGAGTGGGGAGGGAGCAGGGGGCACCACTGCCCCGGCAGCGATGGGGGAAAGCAGGAGCCCAGGAGCCATGGGGAGGGGACACCATCCACAGCATCCCTGGGGCTGTGCCGCCACGCACAGCATCCCCGGCAAGTGTGTGGGCGAGATGAGTGCGCAGGCTGGACTGGAAGGGAGGTGCTGGCCCACTGCAGTGGTCTTCTGCTGCTCTATGTCCTCGTCCAGGCTCTTTTCTAAGGAGCTTGGGGCAGGGCAGGATCGGGTCACGGGGATGGAGCAGCTCTCTGGGTCTGCACCCAGCGAGCGGTTCCTCCAGGCCTACCCAGCTCAGCAGCAGGGCCATGGCGTCAGGCTGGAGCAGGGGGTGCCGGCCCCCCGAGGGAGGTAGAGGGATAAAGAGATGCTCGCTGCCTTTCTCTGCCTTACTTCCCTGCTCTGCCAAGTGGGGTCACAGGCAGAAAAGAGGCTGTAAAACACATAAGCATCCTTGGACGGAAGGAAAAAGGGCTGGGGTGGCTTTTTAGAAGTCATTATTAATGACTGTATTTCAAAAGTCATTATTAGTGAAAGCTCAGGGATAGAGGCTGCTCTCCTGCTCCCAGCACGGCTCCTGCACTCACCCCCCCGCACCCCCTTCAGAGCCTGTGCACGGGCATCACCTTCCCTCACACACGGGCTTGGCACCGGACACCTCTCCAACCGCTCGCTGCCGTGACCTCCAGGATGCTGACGGAGAAGCGCAGGGATGGCAAACAGTTCGTTACGGCTGTTGAAAAAAAAAAGAAAAAGCTCAAAAAAGGACACTTTCCTGTAAACTTTCCTTGGCGCTCCCGGCTCCGTGATGTTCCCTGGTGAAGGCATTGGCAGCGTCAGCCCACACTGCACCACTCTGAGGGAAGGCAGCAGCTGAATGTCCTGCACTAAAATAAACCCGTAAATACCCCGTCGTGCAAACTGCAGCGCCTTGGGCCGACCATCGCTCCAGCCTTTTTTGCTGAGGAACGGTGTGAGATGCAAGACACAGGTGTGTGCACTCACTAACAGCCCAGCACGGGGCCTGGGTGCCCCCAGGCCATGGGGGGTGCCTGTGGGTGCTGCAGCTGCTGCTGGGTGCGCTGGGGCTGCTCTCCTCGG